CCTGTTCTGCTTGTCTGCATGCAGCATGGCTGGACATGCCCATAGCTCCTCTCCAGAGCCCTGTGCTGCTGCACCCAGCTGGTTTTTGGTTCCTCTTTTTCCCTTCCCTTTCTTTTTCCCTTCCCTCTCATTTCCCTTGTAGTTGGTGTGGCAGCTCAAAGGAGGGGGATGTATGGGGGCAACCTCAGGTCTGTGCCCACCTATGGATCCTACACTCACTGGGCTCCTGTTCAGTGTCCCTGCAGGTTGTTTTTTGGGGGATTTTCTCCATTAGTTTTTGCCTCCTGCCTGAGGAGAGGGAGGAAGTGTCATCTGCCCTCATGCACGTGGTTTCCAGTGGCACTGTGGCATTGGCAGGAAGGGGATGTTGCTCCCACCAGAGAAACAGGAGGGGTTGTAAGGGGTGACAGCAGGGTGTAGGACATAGAGCTGAAGGTCAAAGCCCTTGTAGCACTATGACAGCACCTGGGGCTGAAGACACAAGCAGTGGTGACAACCAGCCCTGCTGTGCCATTTGCTCTCTGAAGCCCAAGAAGGATTCCAAACAGTCCTTTGTCCCTGCTGTCCTTTCTCCCCCTGCTGTCCCCCCTCCTGTGCCCTGGTCTCACTGCTCTCCTTGCAGTATCAACCCTGTGACAGGCCGTGTGGAGGAGAAGCTGCCCAACCCCATGGAAGGAATGACAGAAGAGCAGAAGGAGCACGAAGCCATGAAGTTAGTCAACATGTTTGACAAGTTGTCCAGGTACTGGGACATGGTGTGTGGGCACCTGTGTGTCAGGGGTACATCTGTCACAGACCTTCCTTTGGCTGCATTCCCAAGGCCTGAGGGGATGTAGGAGAGGGTGTAGGGGACAGACAGCAGCCATTGCCACCAGCCCTGTCCCTGTCAGAGTGCTTTCTCCCGTCATCTCTAATCTCGTCACTAATGGGTGCTTCAGAGGAGCACAGTGGGTTCAGGCTCCCAGGGGTGGGATGGAAGGGCAGTGTGTTTAATGTGTACTTACACTGTGTGTTGGAGGGAGAGAAACACAGACACCCAGTGCTTGTTTTCCTCTGGGAATCCTGTACCACACAGAACAGGGCCCTAGAACTGAGCCCTTTCCAGGCAACCTGAGAATGGGGACAGCTGTGGATTGTGCTTGCAGCCATCACCTCCTCATGCTAAAGGATTTAGGGCTGGGACTGTCCTTGCTTCTCAGAAGAGATCCTGAATGGTTCTGATGCAGTTCTGGCCATTTACACAAGCCCCATTTCCTGCTGTATTCCTGGTCTGTTCCTGCTGCAGCTCTGTGTCACCTCCCCCCCCTCTTCCTGGCTGCAGGGATAAGGTGATCCAGCCCATGGGCATCACCCCCAGTGGCAACCTGGCACCCATGGATAACGCCATCCGCAACATAGCCGAAGAGCGCTCATCATCCGACTCGGACCTGGGGTTGGACTGACGGGACTCCTGCCCCAGCCATGGAGAGCCGGGCTCCAGCTGCTCTCCCTCCAGAACTGGTGCTGCACCCAGAGGCTGGTACTGGGCCAGGACTCTCCCTGTGAGATCTAGATCCAGCCCGGACCCCTCACAGCCCACCACACGGAACACCTGCCTCCTTCCTAACTCCATAGCCACCTCTCCTGCTAGAGGTCTCCATGGCCTGGCTCCACCTTGGTCTCTCCTGTCAGCAGCCTTGAGGATTTCACACTCCAAATTGCTTCCAGGACTTTCCAGTAGGATTTTTGGGTTTTAAAATCCGTGATGTTTGGGAAGAAGGGCGAGGGAGGCTCTTCCTGTCGCTCCGTCAGGGCTCAGCGATCACAGAGCCTCCTGTGTGTGCCTGGCCATGCAGGGGGCTGCTCCCTGGGAATGCTGTGGGAAGGGTAGGTTGCCAGAGAGGGTGTGGGCTGTGAATCATGGCAGCTTCTGGGGAGTAGGATCCATGGGGTATGGTGCAGGTGGCTGTACCTGTGCAGGTGGCTGTACCTGTGTGCCACATGTGGCTCTGAGTGCACACCTGGTGTCTGTGCACATCTGGGGTGTGTGGGTAAGCCAAGGGGAGCTGAGTGAGGCCTTGGAAGAAGCTTCCAGCATCCTGTTGGCTGCGGGAGAGTGTGCCAGGAACACTCTGATGTCACTTCCCTGGCACTGTGCACTGTCCCTGTCACCACCCAGGTGGGTTTGGGTGTTCACCTCTCCCCACCTCCTGCTCTTCAAGCAAAAGGCCAATACCTGTGCTCTGCCCTTCGCTTGTCCTCGCTGTCCCCAGGTCACTGCTGTTACCCAGGGGCTGCTCTTGGGCCTGGTGTAGATTTGTCTTTTATTTTTATTTGTTTTCTTCTGAAACCAAATCTTCCTGTTTGCCTCATGTACCAGAACTCCCAAACTTCCCATCACGAGTAGGAATGCACAAGTGATGCTAGAATAAAGCAAACCTGACACATGGCCATGATTCCTCAACTGTGGTGGCTCTGAGCAAGGAATTCCCTGTGGCTGTATATAACCAGCCCATGGCAGAGGATCTCAGGAGTTCCTGCCGTGTGTCCTTAGGAGCTGGAGGTGTTTCTGTACATGGGCTAAGAGGTGAAGAGGTGGAGAGGAGCTTTGCTTGGTTTTCCCTCTGTGCTGGGCGCTAGTCAGGCACCTTGAGCACTCTATCCAGTTCTCTCTGCAAGAGGGACATTGAGGGGCTGGAGGTGTCTAGAGCCGGGAATGGTGCTGGGGAAGGGTCTGGAGCAGCAGGGGGAGCTGAGAGGGCTCAGGCTGGAGAAAAGGAGGCTCAGGAAGATCTCGCTCTACAACTCCCTGACAGGAGGTGCAGCCAGGTTGGGGTTGGGCTCTGCTCCCAGGGAACAAGTGACAGAAGGGAAAATGACCTCAAGTTTTTCCAAGGGAAGTTCAGGTTGGACATCAGGAGGAACTTCTTTATGGAAAGGATGATCAGGCATTGGAATGTGGTGCTAGGGTGGTGGTGAAGTCAACATCCCTGGAGGTGTTTGAGGAACGACTGGATGTGGCACTTAGTGCTCTGATCTAGTTGTCAAGGTGGTGATGGGTCATAGGTTGGGATCAATGGTCTTGAAGGTCTTTTCCAGCCTAAATGATTCTGTTTAATTTTCCAGTGATTAAGAATTTTTCAGTAATAACTCAAGTCCCAGGAACACATGGGTATAAAACTGACCCCCAGGGCCCTGGTCAGGCTGCTGGGCTGGGGACAGCGTCCGTCACAGTGGGAGGTTTTAGGCCAATTGCATCTTTCTCCTTTTTTTTTTATATACCAAAAAACCCACTCCAGCCCTTGTGCATGTAGATCCAGACTCCTGATCCCTTCCCAGCTGTTGAAGCTCTCCCAAGCTGTCCATGCAGAAGGAAAAGGAGGATTTGGTGATTTTAATGCAATAATTCTGATATTGTTGTTTTTTTAATTTTCCATAGTGCTTAAATCCCTGAGCGCAGCTGCCATGCCTGGCCTGGAATGCCCCAGAGCAGGGGCTGAGCTTGGCACTGGGTGCTTTGGGAGGAGGCATTCATAGAATCCTGGAATTGTTCTTTTAGGAAGCAGGCTATGGTTAAAAACAAGTCCCCACCATTTCCAGTGTGGATCCATGTGCAGACTCTGCATTGTATTCTCTGATCTGGGATTGCCTCTGGAACAGGTGCTGTGATAAAGGGGTGGGTCAGCCAGGTATGACTACTGTCCTCATGGCCACTTGTGGGTGTTTGGGATGCCATCCAAACCCTGTCAGAGAGCAGAGGCTCTGTGCACCACTGACATGGAAGTACATCTGCTGGGGCAGGTCTGGGACAGGGCAGGATGTAGCTGCAGGGCTGTGACATTGCCACCTCCTGGGATGGCATCTACAGCAGGGATAGGCACTTGTGTGAGGGGGAAAAAGGGAAGCAAGTACTAAAAAGCAGGTGGAAGGAGCAGTGGTGTGGACAGAACGTGCTGGAACACCAGGCAAGGTGTGACTTTACAGAAACCCCCTCAGGTGACATCCACAAATGAATTATATCTCTTTATTAGTAAATAATTAACACTTCAGTGATTCAGAACTCCTCCAGCAGCTTGAGCTGGGATTGGAATGGGGGATAGCCTCCCCTACCCTGGCTTGTCCTCTGATTAGCAGAGATTTCATGGAAAAATAAGCACAGTCTGCAGCAACTGAGGATCACGGCCAAGGGAACAGCGGCTGGGGAGGAGCTGTGAGAGGAGCTCAGTCTGGTGGGAGCCAGAAAACTCACTCCAGACTGTCCTGGCCTGACCTTGGTGGCATTCCAGCTCCTGTTCCATGGAATCAGCCCCTCCAGGGGCTCCAGGATGAATGGCTCAGAAGGAAGGAGACCCAAATGGCCAACTGCAGACACAGAACTCGTTGAACATGCTGGATGAGCCCACGGCCACTTGCTGGTGACACTCTTGTGGCTGGACATCGCCACATAGTGTGCAGAGGGGTGACCGGAGCAGCATCCTACTTGTCCTTTGCATCCAGCTGAAAACAGAGACCCCAGCATTTACCACAGAGCATCAAACATTCCAGCCCCAGCACCATCCCACAGCTTTCATGGAATCTCAGAACCATGGAGTGGTTTGGCTTGGAAGGACCTTAAAGTTCATCTCATTCCACCCCCCTGCTATGGGCAGAGACACCTCCAACTAGTCGAGATTACTCCAAGCCCTGTCCAACCTGGCCTTGGTCTTCCTGCTCTATCATGATGCCATTACCATTATCCATCAGGGATTTGGAGCAGCACAAGTACTGAGCTAAGGTCTGGCTGGTGCCCAAAACGTTTGTACTGAAACATCAAAGCCCTGACTAAAAGACTAAGAATTCCTACTCATTCCTTCCTCATAATCTGCTGAAACAATATGGATGTTAACATTGGAATCTTGAAGCCAGATTCTCTCTTCAGCTGAAGAAATCACAAATGGACTGGTGTTTAGTCCTTCCCTCCTTTTCCCTCACCTTTCCATATATCCCTTAACATGTAAAAATCTTCCCAGTGGTCTAAAGGAATGCAGTAATTAACAGCAGTACTGAGTTCTAAGTCAATAAGGACTTGTTCCCCTGCAATTTCTCACCCCTGAAGATCTCAGAAGGCTACAGATGTGAGAATGGCACAAGGAAAAAAGCAATTAGTGGAGAAAAAAGCCTTCAGTTAAGGATTCATCACTGCCCAGTGGAACAGGAGCAGGTACCCCGCTCCCACCTGCTGCTGTGTGTGTGTGTGTTCAGCACTGGTTGGGTGTCAGACAGCACAACTGGAGCCTCCCTTCCTTCTCTGCCATTGCTTACTGCTCACAGCAGCCAGAGAAACCTCTGGAAGTGGAACCACAGCCATGAAGGGACTGTGTGGACCGAAAGTTTCCAGCCCCTCACACTGAAGGGCTGTTTTGTGCTGTCTCTGCTGCCTCACACTGTGGCACAGCTGCCTGAGGGCATTTCCTGGCTGCTCTCTCCCAGCCCCTGGAATCTGCACCTCCAGCTCCAGGGCTTGTTCAGTGTGTTTGGGAGCAAATCACACACCAGAAATAACAAGAAGCTTTTCAGTCCCTGAGGGAGTCACTGCCTGAAGAAGCCCCAAAGAGCTTGTGTTCAGCCCAAATCCTGCCCTTTTCCCTGTTCCTATTTCATCTGGGACTGGCAGATCCACACCCTCCCCTCTACCATGCACACAGCACTCTGCTCTGGCACCTTGGCTGTGAAACAGCACTGAGGGCTGTGTTGGTTTTGGGCATTTTAGCCCTTTCCTGTGGTCCCTCCCTGCAAAGGCAGCCTGCAGGCAAGGCAGTGTGACCCCAGCAAGCCAAACCCACTCCCCTGGCTAACTCTAGCACACAGAATGCACAGGCTGAGGGTTAGATGGAGCTCTGAGCTCCTTCCCACCTTCTCTTTCTCCTTCTGGATCAGTGTTTGCATCTCGTTGCTCCAGCCCAGCAGCTCCACCAGCTCCTGCACACCTCCGACCACGTCCCCGAGCTGGGCCACATCGTTGTGACGCTGCTGCCAGGCGAAGGGACCCACGAGCTCCCGGTTGATGAGGACTCTGGGCACGGAGCTGCGCACGGCTCCGGCCAGGCTGGCAAAGGGCTCCACCTGAGGGGGGATCCCAGGGGGCACTGGCACTGTCACCTCACTGTGGGCACCAATTCCCAGCACACCATCTGTGTAACAGTTCCCCCACTGTGGGCTCAGCCACCCCAGCCCCCATGGTGTCACCAGCTGCCTGGTGGCCTTTCCTCAGGGCGCCCCAAAGCTCTCCATGTGCCCACCTGGGTTTCTAGATAGCCTCAGAGTGCCTGCAACTATTTCCTCCCCTCCACCTCAAATTTCACCTCCCTAACCCAGTTTCTCGCTGTCTCCTTCAAGCACTCCTCTGGAATCCCCTCGGGCCTTGCTTTCCATGTGCCCTTTTTCCCCAAGGTTTCCCTTATTCCCAGACCTCCAGGGATGTCCCGATGACGAAGAGCAGGTCTGCCATGGGGAAGTCTGTCAGGTGCAGGAGGAATCGCTGTGGGAGGTTCTCACCGAAGAATACGATGTCAGGCTTGACGACTCCAGTGCAGACAGGACAGCGAGGGACCCTGTCCCCCATGACATCCCCCTGAAGGGAGAGCCCCCAAAACTGCCTGTCACAGGGACTCTGTCCCCCTGAAGGAAAAGTCCTGACACTACTTGTCACAGAGCCCCTGTCCCCATGACATCCTCCTGAAGGGAGAGCCCCCAAAACTGCCTGTCACAGGGACTCTGTCCCCCAGAAGGGAGAGTCCTGACACTACTTGTCACAGAGCCCCTATCCCCATGACATCCTCCTGAAGGGAGAGCCCTAATACCACTTGTCATAGGGACCCTGTCCCTCATGGCATCCCCCAGAAAGGTAGAGCCATGACACTGCTTGTCACAGAGGCTCTGTCTGCCATAATGTTCCCCTGGAGAGCCCCCAAAACTGTATGTCACAGAGGCCCCGCGCCTCTGAAGGGAGAGCCCTGACACAACTTGTCACAGGGTCCTTGTCCCCTATAATGTCCCCCTGAGCAAGAGCCTCAAAAACTGCTCATCAGAGCGGGTCAGAGCCACTACATGTCTTCACAGCAAGCTCTAGCCCCAAACCTGGTCCCCTTGATAAACCTCTTGTCCCCAAGGGCAAGCTACCAGGCCTGGGACCTCTCCTTATAGTAATAATTAATGCCTCCTTGTGTTAATTGACGTGTCAATGCCCATCTGGGGCCACTCACCCTGAAGTCCTCTCCAGGGAAGTTCCTCCGACACACTGTACAGGTGGCAGTGGCAAAGGTGCCATGGGCTTCCACCAGCCTGTCCGGAGGGATCCCAGCCACTGGAATACAGCGTAGTGGGAGGAGCACTTACTGGGCTTTTCACCTGTTCTGCCTCCTGATCTGCTTCTTCCTAGTGTTGTGCAGCTGGGAGATGGGGAGAGGGAACTCACCTCTCTCCAGCCCATCAATATTCTGGGTGTAGAGGCGCAGCAGCAGCCCCTTGTCGTGCAGGAGCCGGAGGAAGTAGTGAGCAGAGTTGGGGCGATAGTTGCCAGGGTAGAGCTCCTTGGCCAGAGTGAAGAAAGGCTTGGGGTTGACAAAGAAATAGCCCAGCTCGAAGATGGCCTCTGGGTAGGGGATGTCATACTGCTCCAGGTTGCTGTACAGGCCACTCCCGGGAGACCTGCAGGGACAGGTGTGAACGGAGAGGAGCTGCAGGCACCAGAGTTACATGGGCTGGAATCAGAATCATCCAAGTTGGAAGAGCCCTCTGAGGTCATCAAGTCCAACCTGTGACCCATCACCACCTTGTCAACTGGACCAAAGCACTAAGTGCCATGTCCAGTAGCATTTAAACACCTCCAGGGACGGTGACTCCACCATCTCCCTGGGCAGCCCCTTCCAATGTCTAACCACCCATTCTGCGGAGAAGACCTCATCCCTCCCAGCACTGACAGAGCACAAAGAGGCTGGAGGCATCACCTGAAGTCAGGGATGCCGCTGGGCGTGCTGATCCCGGCACCAGCCATCACCACCACACGCCGACATTCCTTCTTCCGGAGGAGTTCGGCCACGTCCTTCAGGGTGAGCTTCTGCTTCCCAGAGTCACCTCCCCAGCTGCCCTGGCCTAAAATGGCTCTGGCAGCTGTGCTCAGGGATAAGGACCTGAGGGCTTGGATCCTGTTTGGCACAGGGAGGAACACATCAGGTGTGTACTGAGAGAACTGACAGTGACTTCAGCTCAGGGGAAGGAAAACACCCCAAAATTCCACAGAAAGCTCTGCCAGGGATCTGCAGGATCGTGCTAGGGCTTGGCTGTTAGTCTGACCCAAACCCTGGAGCAGACATGTCCCTCTGTGCTTCCCTATGTGGATCTAAAATACCAAGTCCCTGGTACCCCTGTGAGAGAGGTTTTCCCAGGAATGGGGGAGCAGCAGCACTGGAATCACCAGTCTCAACATCTATTTACAACACTCTGGGGATGCAGGAGGCTCCTCTGTGTCCTGAGTTCAACAACTGTCTATCAGGGTGATGTGTTATTTCTCTGTTCCCTTGGGAGAGCTCTGCATGTCCATGCCCAAAGGAACCACAGGTCAGCCCTGCGCCCAGCTGGGGCTGGGAATAGTCATTATCAGCCGGGAACAGTCTTTACCAGCTCGGGAACAGTCATTAGCAGCTCGGGAACAGCTTCTCCCAGACAATTGGTGCTGCTGGAGCAGGACATTGTGTGCAGTCCAGAGTTGGCACAGGGAGAGCTGCTGGAGCTTGGCAAGAGCAGTGACAGAGCTGGAAGTGTCACCTGGTGTCAGCGTGGCCAACTCTGCCTTCCCAGAGCTGTGACACTGCACTGCCTTTCCCTGCTGTCA